ACTTGTTCTTAATAATCAATTATTGTAATAGTATTGTACTTAAGTTCAGCTATGTAACACTCACCAGTAGCAATACTGTGTACATCATTGGTTCCACATTCTATATAAAATACACACACACACACAGTCAATGTTAATACAATCAGTGATATTAACTTACTCTCTTGATCTAACTTGTCAGCTGCAGCATTCTCATTCAAAGATTTAAGAGCATCTGACAGTGAGTCAAAGGTAGCTCCTCCTTTACTGTCAACATTATCAGCTCTGGACGACCACTTGGAGAGACACTCTGTCAAGCATCGAGATACATCACCAGGATGATTCCTTTCAATGGCGTCCAGTGTGTTCTTGTGTAGTCCTAGTGTCAGTCCTAGTTCCTTCCATCTCCTCTGAGGGAAACCACATCTCTTCAACAGATGAAGTACATACGGTTGCTCTAAATAATAATTATTATAGATCTAGCACTTATAATGAATATTACCTACCAATAGTCAAAGGAGAAGAGAAGGAAGAAGGAGAATAATAGTTATTTGTTGCCATTGTTAATCTCGCCCCTTTTGCAAAAAGTAAGGTGGGGCTGGATAAGGGCGTGACTCATTCACTAATTGGGGCGAGCCTGAGCTCGCCCCACTCTAGCTAGACTCTCAGTCACGCCCCGTCTGTCTGTCTGTCTGTATGTCCTCGTACGTCACCCCTATTTATGCGTAGATCTAATACGGTAGACAGATACTATGCATAACCATTGTCATTTAGAGCAATGGTTTAAATGGAGTTAATCAGCAGGGGCCATCCTCGCTTGGGTTGACCGCCCACGTACCCACTGTATGGCGTGGGCAGTGTGCAAACGCAGCAATCCACTTGTACACCCACGCAGTTCAGTTGTGCGCATGCGTGGGAGATCAGCATCATCCAGCATTCTCTCAGGACTACATGCGTGGAAGAAGAGGCTCTGGTTTGCTCTTGTCCTTTTGCTCTCTTCCTCCTCTTCCCACTCGCCTTTCCACCAGTTCTTCACTCAACCGTCTTCTTCAAGGCGACTGCCACTACCTGCTCTCAACCGACGATGTCGACTAGCACAGCTTCTAGTATGGCTGGCAGTAACTCTGGCGCTCCCAACTCCAGTTCTACCACGACCACCACAGCCTCCAGCCCATCCACCCCTTCAGTCTCACCGGCGGGTCTCCAACTTTTAGGTTCGTTGGTGAGGACTATTCTCCGCAATGAGCTTAGCGGTGGGACATCTCCATCCTCCATCCCATCATCCTCGTCTCCCACGGTACCGGCCTCCACAGCCCCGGTATCCGTCGTGAACCCAGTTCTTCTTTCCAGTGTTCCGATGTCTGTCACTACTGCAGGCGGACCAGCTTCCTCCTATCCTTCCCTTCATCCAGCGGGTATTTCATCAGGTACATTCACACATTCACAAGTACTATAATCTATTGGGGGTCGCTGATTGGTGTGTTCCCGCTAGGCCCTTTCTTTCCTTTTCCCCCTCTTACTATGTCATTGCCTCATTAGCAGTTGTTTTAGTAGCCTAGAAATATCCCTTTGAATTTATGCATCCCCAGGTGTCTTCTTAATGGGATGTCCCCGCTAAGCTGGAACTGCTTGGGACACTCCCCCCCCTGCCTCACCCCTCCCCCCCCTCTCTCTCTCTCTCTCTCTCTTTATTATTATCATCATTATTATTATTATTATTATTGTTATTATTATTATTATTATTATTATTATTATTATTATTATTATTATTATTATTACTCTTATTCATCTTGTTTTACCCCTCTTAACCTCTCCTCTCTCCTCTCTTCTTCCTGGGGTGGGGCAATGTCACTGGAGGGTCGCTCCCCTCCATCTCCTCATGTGGGCGCCCCACCGTCCCTACCCCCTTCCTAATACCCTCGGGGGTCCTTCCATGTCGATGGGGACGCTCCCCCTGTGGGCGCACTCACCATGGAGACTGACGCCTTTCATTTCCTTTTCCAAGTTGAGGGGGACGCTCCCCCCCCCCCTTGTGGGTACACCCACTGCTAAGAATGAAGTCGATGGGGACGCTCCCCCTGTGGGCGCACCCACTGCTAAGAATGATGCCTTTTCATTTCCATTCTCCTTTCATAGGTTCCAACCTGCTGTCCTTTATGAGCTCCGCCCCGATCTTCTCGACGGGCAGCCTCCCGAGTACCTCTGGGGCTTCTGAACTAACTGCCCACCAGTCACTCTCCCCCGCAGGGGCATCCCCTTCCTTGGCCACGCTACTGGCTACACCACTGGCCAACCTGGGTCCCTCCAAGACCCCGCCTCTGGTCCTGTCCTCTGCTCTCCCACCTATCCCAGGGAAGGTTGTGGAGTCTATCAGATCAGGTGCCTTCGTGGATTTTCGTGACCTGCTATCCGACAATGTCGCCCTACGCCAGAGGGTCATAGACACCGGACTACTGGGATCGCAATCCCTCCGCCTCAGAGAGATCGGCGACGTGGAGACCTGGCTCTGCTGCTTTTTGGCCTTTGTAGCGGCCAAGGTTGATTGCCGGGAGACGAGAGACCTAATGGCCTACGGCCAGATAATTCTGATGTTGGCTCGTAAGCATGGGGGGTTGGGGTGGCGTGCATACGACGCCCATTTTCGTCAGCTCCAAGGGGCAGGTCACAACCTCCCGTGGACAGAACTGAATCCATCCATGCTGGCCGCAAATGTCCTCCAGGCGGCTGGTCTGTTCTGCTCAATCTGCCAGTCGCATGACCACCGCAAGGAGGACTGTGCCCTGGCCCCTCCCACCACTCCAGCAGACCGACGCCCTCGCCCATACAGACCAAGCGACGAGGTCTGCCGACGGTTCAATAGAACAGCAGGTTGTTCCTCGTCCAATTGCCGATTTACCCACAAATGCTGGTCATGCGGGCTGGCTGATCATGGGGCCTCTGCCTGTAAGGGCAAGCCGGAGAGTAGCAGGACCCGCCCACAGGTCTCCCGCAAAGACTAATTCCTCATTTGGCCACTTCCATAGTCATCATTATCCAATGGACTGTAGCAATATTTAACCCCTTCAGATTCATGCCTTGACTTGGTGCATACACCCACACTTATTATTACTCTGCATACATTTCGGTTTTTTTTTTTTTTTTTTTGTGTTGATTAATTTGTTGATTGATTCCTTCTCAAACTACTATAATAATCTAAATCACACGCACATGTGATGCCTCCCAGAGGTAGACTGCTGGTGGTATGCCGATGTCTTTGATTTGGACCGCTGTCCAACCCCTCCCCTATGCTTGTCCCCCTGGCTCCCCTCTCCCCCCCCCACTCTATTGTGCAGTGGGCTACTGTATATGGGGCAGAATGACTGTTGTCTCCTGTCTTAGGTGGTCGGTACCAATACACACAGGACCTACTAGCCTTGGAGGCGGTCTCATCTACTCCTTTGGTCGAGGGCGTACAAGTCAGGGGGATCCTCCCACTCGCTAGGTGGGACCACTACCTGAGGTCACACCCGGACAAGGAGTATGCCGGGTTCCTCAGGAGGGGGATTGACCAGGGGTTCAAGATCGGCTTCGACCGGTCTCTCAAACTATGTTCACCAAGGAGGAATTATGAATCCTCTACTAACAACCCGGGCCACGCCCAGAGGTACATTACTGAGGAGATTGCTGCTGGACGCCTCAGGCAGGTCCCCCGCAGGGCACCAGTGCACTGGAGCTCCATTGGCTTGACACCCAAAAGCCACCAACCAGGCAAGTTCAGGCTAATCATAGACCTGTCTGCTCCCTCTGGTGCCAGCGTCAATGACGGCATCAGTTCTTCCCTCACATCACTGATCTATCCTAGGGTGGAGAACGCAGTGGAGCTGATAAGAGCTGCAGGCCGCGGTGCCTTCATGGCTAAGCTCGACCTGAAAGCAGCCTACAGACACGTCCCAGTCCACCCAGACGACCAGTCACTACTGGCTATACGGTGGGGTGGGGCTACCTACCTTGACACCGCCCTCCCGTTTGGGCTCAGCTCCGCCCCAAAAATCTTCACAGCAATGGCGGACGGGCTGTCATGGTGCATGATGTGCGAAGGGGTCTCCCACTTTCTACACTACCTGGACGACTTCTTCTTCTGCCCCCCTCAGCATCCGGGCAGATGCCAGCAGTCACTCAGGGTCGCTGTCAACCTCTGCGAGCACCTGGGGTTCCCTGTCGCCCCAGAAAAAGTCGTCGGACCAGCCACTACCTTGGTCTTCCTGGGCATTGAGCTGGACTCGATAAAGATGGAGATGAGGCTCCCCCAAGGGAAGCTAGAACGCCTCCAGGGATCACTGGGCTGGTGGTTGACCCGCGAGTCCGTTACCAAGAAGCAACTACAGTCCATAGTGGGACAATTGTCAGATGCAGCAGTGGTTGTGCGCCCAGGGAGGACTTTTATACGTTCTCTCATTGAGGCCTCTAAGATTCCAAGGAAGCAGGACCACCTGGTTCGCCTTAACCAGGAGTGCCGCGCTGACCTCCAGTGGTGGAACTCCTTCATCCAGAACTGGAACGGGGTTGCTCTCTTCCCGGGTCGCCCCCTACTGGAGACCGTGACATCAGACGCTTCTGGGTCATGGGGTTGTGGAGCACTGTTAGAGGATGGCTCAGCATGGTTTCAGTTCCAATGGCCAGCCCCGTGGAGGGATGCCAATATCGCGACAAAAGAACTATTCCCAGTTGTCTTGGCCGCTGCCTTATGGGGGTCCAGATGGAGAGGTCGGCGGGTCCGATATAGAACCGACAATCAGGCTGTAGTATCCGCCCTAGCCAACTACTCGGCCAAGGACCCGCCCCTAGTACATCTGCTGAGGTCCCTATTCTTCATTGAGGCCTATTTTGATATCGAGCACTCAGTGGTTCACATCCCAGGGGAGGATAATGGGGCTGCAGATGCCCTTTCAAGGGATAAGAGGGTCACATTCTTTTCTCTTCTCCCGCAGGCATCCCCTTACCCAACCCCCATCCCCCAGCCACTAGTGGGCCTTCTGCTGGACAGGTCCCAGTCATGGACATCACCCGGTTGGAAGGACTCGCTAGAGAGCTTTTTGAAGGTGGCCTCTCAACAAGGACAGTGAGTTCTTATTCATCGGCCCAGCGGAGATACCTAGCCTTTTGTGATTCCATGGGCCTACCACCACTCCCCCTCTCAGAGAGAGTCCTATGTCTTTTTGTAGCCTTTCTCAAACATCAAGGACTGGCCCACCAGTCGATTGTGTCATACCTATCGGGCGTGAGAAACCTGGCCGTCGCCGGGGGGGAAACGCCAGAGAAGAGGGACCAAATGCCCCGTCTTCAACTAGTTCTACGAGGGGTGGCTAGAGCCTCATCTCACCACAACGGACGGGCAGCTCGCCTCCCCATCACTGGGACGGTCATGCACCAGCTCGTGGGTGTGTGGTCAGGGCAAGACTTTGAGTCCCGCCTGATATGGGCGGCCATTTGCGTGGGCTACTTTGGGTTCCTGAGGGTGGGGGAGTTCACGGCTACCGACTTGTCCCCAGCAAATATTCTGATGTCGGAGGTAGCCATCAACTCAAGGACTTCCCCCACGGCCATCCGCCTTCGGCTTCGCAAGGCAAAGACAGACCCTTTTGGCAGAGGGGTGGAGATTTTCCTGGGTGTGTCAGGTTCGGGGGTTTGTCCCGTCTCCGCCCTACTTAGTTACTTGGCTATTCGCCCGCTAGGCAACGGTCACCTCTTTATATGGGAGGATGGCAGGCCCCTTACCAGGACAGCCTTTGTGACACGCCTCAGGAGGGGCCTCCAGTCAGCGGGATTTGATATGAGTCGATACTCGGGTCATAGTCTCCGTATCGGGGCGGCTACCTCGGCAGCAGCAGCAGGGGTTCCTGACCACCTCATAAAAATCCTAGGGAGGTGGCAATCAGAGGCGTACCACCTGTACGTGCGTACCCCTAGAGATTCCCTTCTTGGGGTAGCTCGGCTGATCGGGAACACCGTCAGATAGTTGGACTCCATTCGGAGGCGTGATCAGGGGGGGTGGTCACCTCCCATTTGCAGTTACTGGTAAGGACCAAACTGTCTGGTCCCCACTCACATCTACCTGTACACATATGACCTTTCCTCCTCAAGTTGAACTCCGCCTCCCCCCTCCTTTCCCAGTCTATGCACTCCCCCCTTTCACATCTGTCTCCTCCCACACCTGATCTGTTCCTCTTATCAATTATTTGTGCTAGCTATTCCTTTATTTGTGATTATTATTGATCCTATCATAAATATTGAATCATAATAGAGCTAGGCTAGGAGGGAAAGAATCTCGGGTAATAGTGGGCTGTTTGGGCACCACGGAAGCTCTGCCCCCTAGATGATAATCACTGGGTCATCCCCTCCGATGGTCGGCCCCACCCAAAAGCGTGGGTGGGACCACCCCGAAGGATTCCGGATCCTCCCCCCCCTCGGGTGCAGCTCATGCAATTGTAATGAGGGGGTGGGAGGTCAGGGGGGTGTTGTCTGCCCACCAAGCGCCCTTGCGTGGGCGAGGCCCCCCCCCCTGCCTGGGGGACCGGAATGCATCAAAGGCCCAACTAATCAGGGGGGCGGGGCTGAAGTGGGGCCCATTCATTGGCCACACTTCCCTGGGGCAGTGTGGCCACCGTCCCATTATCTAGGTAATCAGCGAGGAGGACGGTGGACCACGGTAGGCAGGTGGACCCGAGGTAAGATTAATTGTCATTTAGAGCAATGGTTTAAATGGAGTTAATCAGCAGGGGCCATCCTCGCTTGGGTTGACCGCCCACGTACCCACTGTATGGCGTGGGCAGTGTGCAAACGCAGCAATCCACTTGTACACCCACGCAGTTCAGTTGTGCGCATGCGTGGGAGATCACCATCATCCAGCATTCTCTCAGGACTACACGCGTGGAAGAAGAGGCTCTGGTTTGCTCATCCACCACCCACCCAACATCTAGTAGGTTTAGGTTTTTCCACTGGGTCCCTTCCCAGTGTGATAGAATGGGCACCACGGAAGCTCTGCCCCCTAGATGATAATCACTGGGTCATCCCCTCCGATGGTCGGCCCCACCCAAAAGCGTGGGTGGGACCACCCCGAAGGATTCCGGATCCTCCCCCCCTCGGGTGCAGCTCATGCAATTGTAATGAGGGGGTGGGAGGTCAGGGGGGTGTTGTCTGCCCACCAAGCGCCCTTGCGTGGGCGAGGCCCCCCCCCTGCCTGGGGGACCGGAATGCATCAAAGGCCCAACTAATCAGGGGGGCGGGGCTGAAGTGGGGCCCATTCATTGGCCACACTTCCCTGGGGCAGTGTGGCCACCGTCCCATTATCTAGGTAATCAGCGAGGAGGACGGTGGACCACGGTAGGCAGGTGGACCCGAGGTAAGATTAACTTCTATTATCTACTCTTGCTGTAACTCTAATATCTATGCATGCATTGATCATCAGGACCACACCCACTGTCCGTTCAAGAGGGGTTAATTTAATACAGCAAAATCATTCCGTTTTTCTAAAAGTGTCCGTATTCCGTATTTTCGGGGGTCCGTTTTTCAGGGGGACTTTTGTACAGCAACCAGTAGGAAGGGCGTTTCGTTGTACAGCTGCTGTCCGTAAGTCAAAGGTGTCCGTAATTCAGGAGTGTCCGTAGGGAGGGGTTCCACTGTAATCTACATGGATGACAACTTATGGGCGTTCACCATTTCAGGTGAAACGCCCTCCGACTCCGAGCTAGCCTACGATGTCTACGTCTGCTGCTTCTTCTTCGTCTTCCTCTGCTTCTCCTGATTTTGTGAACGTTTGTGACAAAGAACTAGGTATTCAACTTTTGATTTAAAAAATCAACTATCATTAATTCTTAATAGATATCAATGACTTTCATGATGTTTATGATAAAGTCAGACCACTCTCAGCTCATTGGGAACAGATTGCTATTTCATTGCGTCTCAGAATAGATACTATCAAGGAAATACAAGCTATAAACTTTAGTGGGAAGGCTCTGTCATGTCTATCTAAAGTTCTAGAGCACTGGTTAAAGAAAGAGTATGATTACGAGCGCTATGGTGTTCCTTGTTGGAGGAGAGTGTGTGTAGCTGTTAAAGGAGGAGGTGATCCAGCATTAGCAGAAGATATAGCTCGTACACATCTTCATAGTTCAAAAGGTCAGTTTCATTCAACAGACAGTCTACTATTAGATGCATGTATGTCGTGTCATAATTCAGTGGCAGATCTATGGGGGGGCCAGGGGGGCAATGCCCCCCCAAAAATTTTCTGGAGTAATATAAACTTTGGTTTACCTGTATAAACTGTGAAGCAGCTGCAGTACTGGACTATGTAAACAATCTTTAAACCACAAAGGGGTTCATTTTAGCAGGCTTAGTCTTCATAATTTTTACTTCCCCAAAAGTTTTGCACAAGCTTAGTTGACCACACCCCCTAATTACCCCTCCCATCTCACAATTGCCCCCCCAAAAATTAAATCCTAGATCCGCCCCTGTGTCATATACATGTAATATCTTGACCGTATGTATCAGATATTTTTTAAAAGCGACAACAAAATGAATGCCTACCAAAAGTGACAGCAACAAGAGTAGAAATGAAAGCTTTGTCATGCACAGTGTTGAGAGATTGGCTTGAGTAGGCTTTTTTGAAAGAACCTCAAAGAAATCTCTATAATTATGATTTACACATTAATGATCAAGTTGTATGGGTGTGGGTTTACTTTAGCCTCGTTGCCCAGACCCTTTCATATTTCTAGCGAGAGTAAGCTCACTTCATTTGGTCTACTGTTCATACAGATCTATTTGTATTTATTTTTTAATTATGCATGATACATGTACATGTACTAAAATTAATATTTTGTAAGTTGTGTTATAATAAGGCCTAAGGTCACATTTAGACCAACTTAGGTTTTTAATTAAGCAGAGACATTTGAGCATGCCTTCAATTAAAACAGGAAGTTTGATATGGCACTAAAACACAAGATGAAAAGGCATGTAAATGTGAACAAAAATAAATTAGCATACCAAAGTAAGTAAAATGATAAATTCGAACAAAAATGCAGCTAGATTTATGCAAACGTACAGCTCAAAATGTTTGCAAGTAATTTAAGGTAAAGCTGATGTAATGTAAGTGAGGCCTTAAGGCTGGTTTATAATATGACATTAGGCCAGCATACCATAATTTTTTAAATTAAAAGTGTTTGCGATTTGACCTTTTGAATTTTGACACATGCTTTCTGCTAGAATAGAACCAAATCCTATTCCAGCATCAACGTAACATCAGAGTTAGCATAATATTATAAACCAGCTTTCAGTATTGATGAAACCTTGTATTCATGACCCTGTTTAAGTTCACAATTTTAAGGGATTAAAAAAGGTCACGTTTAACTACTCTACTTTTTATTTTAAAATGGGAACTTTTAGTTGCAGATACACTGCCGATACAATGTTTTTTTACATTGAAAATGAATACTTATCCTTTATTTAAGCTAAAAATGCTGAGTCTTTGTAAATGAATGGCTAAAATAGTAAAATCTAAGCAAAATGCAATTGAATCTATACAGGGTTGATGGATAATCATTTGTTTGCAGAGCATATCCTTGATATACTGTATGGTTGATTGGTTGGTAGTTTTTGAGTGCAAAATATTTTGTGTTTTCTCTTAAAAGCTAATGTTTGTGGGTACAAATATTTGTGGCTGGCTGTTAGTAAATTCTTTTCCCTTGCATCTACAACACTAGCTTCCAATACATGGGTTATAGCAGAATATGGAGTAATAGACAAACACTGTGGCTCCTCCACTGGCTTTTAGAGCTCTGCATGGCCTGTTAATTAGTTTTTTATGTGTATCTGGTAGGAGTTGGTCATTTGTCAAAAAAATTTGTGGAACCACGAAATTAATAAAAATTAATTATTTATTACCCCACGAAGTTTACCAGCTGTACTGTAGCTTGAGCCTGGAGGAATCAGACTCCAGATTTTGTTTATTGAAACTTGCCTTTGAGGGATATTCCTTCATATGACTTAAAGAGATCATGGCTTAAAGTGCATTTGTCTTTTAAGCAACTTTTTTATATTAAAAAAGTTGTTCTGTTTAGACCTTACAAATTACGGTATTGTATAGTGGTTTAATAAAATTTTGTGAATTTGTTCAGATTTGTTGGTATAAATTTTTGCAAATGTTACCTTCTGCAGCCATTTTCCTAGTGTGCCACACCTTTTCTGTGGAATTTAATTTTGTGAATTTAATGAAAATACAAAATTTATTTCCAATGAAATATAACCCCTATACAGTATCTGTGATATTTTTTGTGCTTATGTTAGATAAAAGCATTTTATCATAGCAATTTTAATTGACTGATATTAATGTTTATAGTGCATGGGTGCATGAAAGGCAATGCCTGTTACAGGTCAATTGTTTGTGGTTTTATGTTGATAGCAAAAGGCTGCTATGTGACCCTGACCCTTTTATTTTTCGAACAGGTGTTCTGTGTGAGGCTGGCACTCAAGCACTATGTTACCATTAACACAGTTCCTTGTGCTATCTAAGAAATGCAGCACTCAAGAGAGTACATGTACTTGGCTTTGCCTCGTGTATTTCCAATGAAACCGTACTTTAACTAATACTAGCATGCAAATTTTGTGATTTATATAGGAGTTTCTCATGCATGTATAATTTCCTAGAGCATTGCCATGTCCACAAATGCATTCATACATACATGCTATAGAAAGGCCTATAACATTTTACTTTTTAGAGACATTTGATTATGAAAAGGGTTTAGGCGGAAAGCAGCAGTATTTACAAGATGAATTTAAAATGTTGATTCAATTAACAGAGGAATCCTTCAAATCAGGTGATCTTCCAGATATTATAAATTACCTCCAAACACAAACGATGTCATTTGGTCCTAACAAGAAAACAGCTAAAGAAATTAGAGAAGAGTTTGAACATATATCAACAATACCAGAATTGTTTGCTGTACTACAAGACAAATATGTATCGTGGTTTGACTATACATTAATGAAAAAGCTTGTTGGAGTTTTTCTACCCAAAATTCATTTATTAAAGATGACATGGACATCATATGAAGAGAAGTTAAAGGATTATTTTGTTAATAGTAGCAATGGTAGTGATCACAACTAATTTTATTCATTGATGTGCTACATTTACATTGTGTAAAAATATGCAAATATTTTTTCATATTATGCCATTAAGCCACTGTCTATGTCCTACTCCAGTGTGTAAGGTCCTAACTTGTTTATTTAATAAAATGAGATAGTCTAGATAATTGTTTGATGGTAATCTACTAAGAGATAAAGAGAGGGAGAGAAGCTTTCTACACAATGAATTTAGAGACAAAGACTATGGAATTACTGAGGGGTCTGTGCAAGGAAAAATCTGGTACCATGCATGCACGGCTTAATACTGAAAAATCTAGAAATCCCAAACAAAATTTGAGCCTGTGTCAGACACCTCGAATTCATTAATTCACAGTAATCCAGAAAATCCTATAACAATTAGTCAATTATCCAAAAATCCAAGCAGTAATCCAAAAAATTCAATCATGAATTATTCATCATCCCATGGTTTTTTCCAAAAAATGGCTCCGAAATCACCCCAAATTTTTATTACATTTTCTGATACACATTGATGTCCTTGTGCTGTGTAGAAAGTTTGAGCTGATTTCAACTTCATTTTTTCAAGTTACGGCCATTTTAAAAAATTAGCCAAAATCTGAAAAATACCCAAGGCTATAGCCCATGGTTTTTTTCTAAAAAATGGCTCCAAAATCACCCTAAATTTTTATTACATTTTCTGATGCATATTGATGTCCTTATGCTGTGTAGAAAGTTTGAGCTGATTCCGACAACAAAATCCCAAGTTATGACCATCGGAAAAAAGGCCACAATTACACATGATTAGTTGATTACCACACTTAAGTTCAGTACTACAGTTTCAAATAAATTTCATAATTTTACTAATCCCTCCTCTCTTCTCATAGATTACAGTCCTAAAATGTTACAACATACATTCTGTACCTGCTTCACTGTCTACAGGGACTTCCTTTGGGTGGGTACTAACAGAGGGACCATATCAATGTTGAATATTGTATTATAAACTTAAAAGAGAGATAGAGAGAAGGGGAGATACAAAAGAACAGGAACACACTAGGAAAAGATACCAGGGGACAAAAGCAAAAACATCACTATATATACTAGTCTGTGGTTAACTATGTAAACAATAATGACTACAATAATCACAATAACTATAAATCATTTTATTTACAACACTCCTCCTTGATTGATAGTCATGGATGATTTA